GATATATGTTTGTGCCAATCATATGAAACTATTTAAAGGTATTATAAATAGTCATACATATGATGATTTATGTTTAAATAAGGATGCCTAACAATTAAAGTTGTTTGTTTTAATTGGTTTTCTTCTCTGCAGTGCGTGCGAATGCTAATAAATGTAGCTGGTTTTACAAATCATTTTTATAATTATTCTGCGCTTTGTCATTTTTGAAGAATTATAAACTTTGATAATGAGATATTATGTCTGAAAACATGTCATAATGCTTTCAACTAGAAAAATTATCTCTGATTTGAAAGGAATCCCCAAGTGCCATGATAAGTTGTGTTCATATTAAAGTAAATGTTTAAAAAAACCTTTTGGACTAAATTTTTTTTGATTAAAACTAAATAATAAATGCATATCAATATAAACCACAATCAGCAAACTAATTTATTTCATGCTTGTTTAACTAATAACAGTTTCAGTACACAACATCATTGTGGGTTTTTCTTAAAAGATATTGAAGTATTTTTTGTCCAAAATCAGAAAATCATTTTTATAATTTTTTACTAAATTCTAAAAAATACTTGTAATACAATTAAAAATAAATTAATATATTTGGTTTATCAATTGTCAGGATTACTTTTAAATTAAAATATCTTTTATAAAAGGCATTTTATAAAAGATAAAGAAAAAGGTTTTATAAATATTGTTGTATTATATACATTATATCAGGGGCTATTATAGGAAAAAAATTTGGGCAGCAGTACTTCCCCCTCCCCCTCCCTCCCAAAAACAGTCCATGCTGTTTAAAGCTATCTAGAATAGCACCTGTACATTTATATTATAAGTATTTATGCATTATACACCAACATAGACATTTTTTCATGGCACATACATATGCACAACATCAAAATGCCTTTACGCATAAATAGTCTCAAACATCTTGTGATAAAACTTTTTTTGAACTGTCTTAAATATCTTTGTTTGTCTCATCTTTTTTATTTTTATATACAATACCAGGCCTCGTTTTAAAGTGTTACGCGTAGAGCGATTTATGTACACCTTAAGCAATTTTATGTAAGCAGTAAGCAATTTCGTTTAAGTGACTTTTTATCATTTTTTAACTTTAAATTTATTTAATTAGGGGTAAGATAAAAGAAGACATTAATTTTTAAAAAGTTACATTAACTTTTGAATGACGTTTATTTGTTACAAAATTTTAAATGTTACATGCAAAATTATTTGTTACAAAAGTTTAAATGTTAAGCGCTATTTACTAATGTAAAGTGCTATTTACTGATGAAGTTTATTATTTATTAATTTATATTTATTAATATTAAGCGCTATTTATTGATGAAAAAAACTCAAAATTAAAAGTTTATTTTTATTTTATTTTATCGTAATGATTGATTTTTCAAGCTTGAAGCAAAGATCTTAAAAGCTTAAAAATTTAATTATAATAAAAATGATTTAATTTAAAACAAATTTAATAAAAATATATAATATTATTCTGATAAAAAAAAATAATTTAATTTAGATATTAAAATTATATAATTTAATTTCGATTTAAAAAATATATTTAAGTTTATTAAAACTAAAGTTAATGCTTGGGTTTAACTGTCAAATTTATTTTAAAATATTACTAAATATTATTCAAATTGAAATTTTATTTGTTCTTAAAAAAAAATAGCTCATTTTTATCGCAATTGTTTTTACTGTTGACTATATTTGTGTATAAGTTTTTACTTAATAAAATAAATCTGTGTTTATTCTAAACATCTGTTTGTTTTTCTTTGTTTTTATTGCTTATCTTCCTTGAAATAAAAAGTTTTTTTTAATAGATATGTTTCATATTTCTCTGTGGGCTTTCATTGCTCAGTCTAGTTCAAGGACCACAGATTACCTCAAACTAATATAACAGCAATAAATTTATATATTTGCTTATTTAATGTTTTTTTTTATTAAATAAGCAATTTAATTAAATTTACATATGAAATATGATTAAATACTTAGACGTTATATTAGTGCAGTGGATGTTATATTGTTCTAATTTTGAGGCGCAGCTTTCTAGGTAGCAGATTCTAATCCACCATTGGACACTATTTTATTTTAAATTCTTATATTCAAAGTAGTTTTTTGTTTTTCGATCAATGTTGTTGTTTATTTATAGCTACATTACATTATATTGTTGTTAATTATATATTATTTAGGTAGTTGCAGTCGTGTGTACATATACCAACTGATTTAAATTGGGATAGGTGTAAATAATAACTAAAAAAAGATGTTAAAGTACGCTAACTTCTAATATAAAAATTTACAATAAAGATTTATACTTAAGATTGTCAAAAACAAGCTATTGAAATCTCAAAACCAAATAATTTTTTTTTTTTTAATTGTATCACAAAAAATTTTTGAGATTTAATAAAAAATTTTGTTAACAAATATGATTTATTGATTGTAGCAAAAAAAAATACTTGAATCATTAAATAAAAAACAATGACATTGTGTACAGAATCTGCTATGAATTAAACACATATGAAATAAATTATGCAGTCTGCAGATTTTGGCATAAAATCTCCAAAAACAAATGGAGAAGACAACCTTTAACTTAAACAACAGTTTTTGTTTTTTATTGATATGCATTTATTATTTAGTTTAAATAAAAAAATACAGCCAAAATGTTTTTTTTAAACATTTTCTTTATCATAAATACAACTTTTTTCAGCACTTTTAAGCTTTTGAAAATATATGAATAAAAAAATAAAAATTTGGTAGATCTTTTTAAAACAACCTCTATCATCTATTATGGAAAAAATGCTATAAAAAACCCCATGATGATAAATACCATGTTTGTCGAAATTGACTCAAGCTCCATAATTTGAGCAGGAATTTGAACTTTGATTGAATTTGAAGAATTTGTTGACCAATATTTGTCATTTATGTTTTTTCATATTAACTTTCATAATGATTTTTTTTTTTTTTATTCTATTAGACATATCTTTCCACTTGACAGTTTTGTACCACTAGAAACATCTTTAAATAGTTTTTTACATTGTTTTGTACATTGTAGCAATTTTTTACTATATTGTTAAATATACTGTCTCCAATAAATACTTATTGGAAGAAATATATTTAAGAATTAATAAATATTTGGAATATTAACTGGCATAACTAGAATTGTTTGGCATAACAAAACTAACCCAAACTCACAGTTAACTCTTAGTAACCCAGATTCTCTGTTAACTCTCAGTAACCCAGATTCTCTGTTAACTCTCAGTAACCCAGATTCTCTGTTAATTCTCAGTAACCCAGATTCTCTGTTAGCTCTCAGTAACCCAGATTCTCTGAGTTAACAGAGAATCTGGGTTACTAAGAGTTAACTGTGAGTTTGGGTTACTGAGAGTTAACTCAGAGTTTTGGTTAGTTTTGTTATGCCAAACAATTCTAGTTATGCCAGTTAATATTCCAAATATTTATTAATTCTTAAATATATTTCTTCCAATAAGTATTTATTGGAGACAGTATATTTAACAATATAGTATAAAAGTTGCTACAATGTACAAAACAATATAAAAAACTTTTTTTTTTTGTTCTTCTGTCTTTTTTTTTTTTTTGTTCTTCTGTCTTTTTTTTTTTTTTCCTTTTTTTTTTAAATTCTTTGATAATTTGCTGCCTGGTAAAAACACCATAGTTCAATTTTTTGAACCTCCTCTTCAAACTTTCTGTTCAAATGTCCTGTTAGAGAAGATCAGGCATATTCATACATACATAAATCTCTTGTCAGGTCAGGTGTATGGTCATCAAGATCTCCCTCCTACTGTTAACATGTAGTCCAGTGCAATCTGTTCTATGTTTTGCTGCCTTGTAGGATTTGCTTTCTATGCAAAGGCTAGAAAAAGTGTACTTCCTGTCATCAATATTATCTAATATCTGTCATGTCTATAGTAATATATATAACAATATATAATGAACAATATATAAAACATATAAAAATATTATTTTTATATATTGTTTTAGTTACTGTGTTAGCTCACCTGTAATTTTATATATATGTATAATGTTCTGTCTGTATAGTAGTCTGTATAATTTTATATATATGTATAATGTTCTGTCTGTATATATGTATAATGTTCTGTATAGTGTTCTGTCCAAACCTCTATTTCACTCACCCATAAGGTATTTGTATTTTTGTGTTCTGTATGAACCTCTGGCCAGATGTTCACTCATCCATAAGTGAGTATTTGTATGTTAGTGTTCTGTCTGAACCTCTGGCATTGTGTTCATTCACCAGTAAGTTACTTTATGAATGTTTGTGTACTGTCTAAACCTCTTCAGGGATGTTTGCTCACCCGTTAGTTACTAGATTTATGCTTGTGTTCTGCTTAAATCTCTGATGCAGTGTGAGCTCAGTTACTAACTATTGACTCCAACTGTAAAACTTTTGCTCACTTTTATCTTTATTGTTTTGTTAGATGTAATGTTTTTCTTCATGCATTTCCAAAATATACTCATCAATATTTTGAAGTACTACATACAGGTTCTTTTAACTACTCCAGTTCAGGTCTGGTTTGGGATCATCACTATCGCCCTGCTACTGGTATTTTGTAATCCAGTACTACCTGGCTAAAAGGTTAAAGATGTCTTGATAAAAGTCCAGGGTGGCCAGCAGTCCTTGAAATCCTTGAAATCCTGGAAAAGTCCTGGAATTTTAAAGGTCCTTGAAAAATCTTGGAAAAACATTCTTTTTTACAAAAAATCCTTGAAATCCTGGAACTTTTTTTGAAAGATTTTAATATTTCGTTTTGATGTTTTTATCTTTTTATTTTTGATTATGTATTTTCTAGAATATTCAAAAAATATATATATATATTTTAAATAATGTTACTTTCTCCATGGTAATAATATCTTAATAATATCTACTAATTATTTAGAAAATATAATACACAATTAATATATATATATATATCACTAATATAATGCCTAAAACAAAGAACTGCCGTTTCCAAACAGAATGACTATACAATAAAAAGTATTCTTCTTGGATAAAATTTTGTTCTTTAAATTCAAAGAAAGCAAGTAATTGGTGTCGAACAGATATTAATATTTCTAACATGGGAGTATCTGCGTTAGATTCACATGCAACTGGTAAGAAGCATAAAGAGCATGCAAGGACACATAATGCAGCTGATATATTTTTTACAGGTTATTTTTTAGTTATTTATATTTATATTTAAATATATTATAAAGAATTATATTATATTTAATTAATTTAGTTTTTTAATTTTGAAAAGCTTGGAGCAAGTTGATTAGCTGCGCACTTTACAGGATATATATTTTCATGTTTCACTTTTAGATTTTACTACAGAAATATCTGGTGATAAAGCAGCTTCCAGTAATTTTCAAGAACTTTCTCCTCATTCAAACAAAGTTTTAAATGACAAAGTTACACAGCCTACTATAGAGGATCTTCAATCTCCAGCTTTGGTTACTAAGGCAGAAATAATATGGATCTTAAATGTTGTAGTGTCACATTTTTCTTTAAGATCATGCTTAAATTTAAATGAAATATTCAAATTTATGTTTTATGACAGTAAAATTTGCATTAGGCAAAACAAAATGTGGTTACCTCATTAATTTTGGTTTGGCGCCATACTATCGAGACCAACTTATATCTGAAGTCAGAGCATCGCCAATCTTTGTTTTGTCATATGATGAGAGTATGAATGTAACCTTTAAAAATGAACAAATGGACTGTGGAGTTAGATACTGGGATTCAAATTCAGGTGTTGTAAAAGTTAGATATATTGATTCGAAATTCCTCAGACGCCCTAATGCACAGAATTTATTTGACAAACTCATTGAAGCAACAGAGATGTTTGATCTTGGAAAACTTATTCAAGTTTCAATGGTTGGTCCTAATGTTAATTGGGAGGTTCTTAAAATGTTAAATGAGCATAGACAGGAAAAGCGATATTCTGACATTGTTAATATGGGCAGTTGCAGCTTGCATATTGTTCATGGTGCCCTACAGACAGCAATAAACTCCCAAAAGTGGGAATTGGAAAAAATATTTCGTGCCATGTATAATCTTTTCAAAGAGTCACCAGCTAAAATAGATGAATATATTAGAGTTTGTGAAACAAATCTGCTTGCTTTACAGTAAGTATGCATGTTTAAGAAGAAAAAAATTTATTATAATTCATTATATCTTTTTTTATTTATATATAAGTTAAGAGCATTTCAGCCTTTAAATTTTTGGATTTTATTGTTTTACAGTTTCTGTGCAACTCGCTGGGTAGAAGATGAAGGTGTGGCTTCTAGAGGCATTGTTGTATGGCCAAACATGGTTAAAATTATAAAGTATTGAGAGTGATTATGCAAAAGCAAATGTCCTAAAAAAAAGAGCTACGAGGTTCTGGTAGATCATCATCTACACAAGTTTGTACCTTTGCGTATGCAGTTTTTCAAAGATCTGGCTAAAAAATTGAAAGGGTTTCTAGTGCTATTTCAAACAGACAGACCTATGGTTGCATTTTTATCTAATAGTTTAGAAAGTATATTGCGAAGTTTGATGAAAATGATTCTCAAACCAAACATCTTAAAAGAAACTGCAGCTGCATATAGTTTAACAAAGATTGAAGTAGGTAAATCCAATAACCAACTAGATGCAAACAAAATTGATATCGGAACAGCACTAAAACAGATGCTAAGTTCTCTTCATTGTAAACCAGAAGAGAAATTAGAATTTATAATAGAATGTAAGCAGATTATTGTAGCGTTATTGCAAAAATTATAAGAAAGATCCCCCTTGAAATATTCTTTAGTGAGGAATGCTTCATCTTTGTTTCCAAGTAAAATGGTTAAAAACAAGGAAATATCCATTCTTAAATTCAAGGCTCTTGCTGAAAGATTAAGTGCATTAAAATGGTTATCATCTGACAATGCAGATGATGCAAAACAACAATATGATGAATTTGTTAGTGCAGAATGTGTTCAATTTAACGAAAAATTTGATTCCTTCAACGAGTTAACTGATTCTGTTGATAAATTTTTTGCTGTTTATTTGCATAAAATTCCGAAGTATTCAGCACTGTGGAAAGTCTGTGTTATTGTTTTTGTGTTATCTCACGGCCAATGTGCAATAGAACGAGGGTTCAGTGTTAATAAACAATTGTTGGTTGAAAATCAGCAAGAGAGATCTCTTATTTCTTAAAGAATAGTTTATGACCACATTAATTCTCATGACATTGTTATACATCAGTATGAGCTCTCTAGTGATCTTTTAAAAAGTTGTAAGTTAGCATACAATCGTTACAATATAGTATTGAAAGAAAACAAAGATCAAATAAAGGTAGATGAATTAAGCAGGAAACGCCAATTGATTAATGGAGATATTTTAGTAATGAAAAAACAAAAAGAAAGTGTTGCAAAGTGCATTGAAATTCTTAAATCTGATGCTGATAAGTTAAGCATCGAAGCAGAAGCAAAGAAAGACTTTACTGTTCTTGCAAAAGCAAATTCTTTTAGAAGCACAATTTTAGAAAAAGAACAAGCAATTCAAGACATTGACTTTTTATTAAAAAAACTTGAGCAATCTAAAAAAAATATGAAATAAAATAGTTTATATCAAAACATACTTATGTATTTAAATATACTTATATATATTTAGTTATTTTGTTCTAGGAAAGTATATTTTGCTTTTACTAGTTATTTAATTGTCGAGTAAATAAATCCTTGAATAATCCAAAATTATCCTTGAAAATCCTGGAAATATCCTGGAATTTTAAGTTTATTTTTAACTGGCCACCCTGAAAGTACTCATCTTGGGCAGATGTTAACTGCATCCAACTAAAGTTCCCCTGCCTCTAGATTCTTGGTTGAGTAATTCTAGAGATAGTGTCTCAATAAAAATAATCATCTTGGGCTGATGTTAACAACCTGTCTTGTCGAAGGCCTCCTAGACAAAGCCTTTAGGGGTAAGCAGAATAGTTTTATTAACCAGCCTTGAACTTCTTCTTCATCTAATAGGCTGAGGCCGACTGGTAGTAAGGTTTCCTGAAATCTGTGGCAGCTCTCAGAGAGGCTGATTCCATCAACAGCTGCAAAATATCAGATTATTAACAATGCTATGTTGAGCATGGATGGTGTCTCTGTTAAATCTTCTGGTGTGTATTTTCAAGGCCTCACAAGGAGCCCTAAGTTATGTCTTTAAATAACAGGATTGAGACAACTGCATAGCTCATTAATTGGGGTGTTGTGCTCTATATATGAATGAGTTAAATTCCCTTTAAATTTAAACCATGCCGAGTAATCAAAAATATTAAACATAAAAAACCAACCCCACCACCTAACTTTTTCAATATATCTTTCACAAATATTTGTGGCTTTCAAAGTAACTTTCCATAACTATATATGTATAACATATATGACCTGACATATATGTCAGGTCAGATTAATATGTCAGGTCGTTCTACTGTTGGTATTGGTGACTTTAATGCTCATAACACTGAATGGCTTGGTTCTAACAACACTGACCATGCTGACACTAAAGTCCATAACTATATATGTATTACATATATGACCTGACATAGATGTCAGGTCAGGTTAATATGTCAGGTCGTTCTACTGTTGTTACAACACACCCCCTGCCTTGGAGCTCTTGGTTGAGTAAAGGCTAGAGATGGTGTCTAGATAAAAATACTTATCTCGCGTAGATGTTAAATGCATCTGGCTACTGTCTTGTAGAGGGCCTCCTAGGCTAAGACTTAAGGGGTAAATAGATTCTATCTGACCAGTCTAGATACTATCTGACCAGTCTGGCACCCCTTCTTCGTTTATTAGGCTGGCATAGATGTATTTATAATAGATGGCTTCCAGTTTAGGATGTTGAATGCTGGATCTTTTTGACTCAATGCATGGGTTTTGCTTGTATCTCTGTTTTCATGACTAGGCAATTCATTCTATTATCTGCTAATGAGGATACATCTCCAAAAATCAGTTTTTTTAGTGTGACTTCATTTCTTTTTACTGTGACTGTTCCTAAGTGCTCCAAAAATTTTATTTGTCTAGTTTTTTTTCTTGAACATCAGTTCTTTTGAATTTGCTCCCTTTATCTTGTTTTCCTGATTCATGTAATTTGCTATCTTTTAAGTTGTGCATTAATCCTTTTCTTGCTCTATAAAATTCATCTTTTCTCTTCCAGTAACTTCCAACTCTAAAAGTGGTTGCTTTGCAGCCTTGTTGAAAGTGAAGACATTAAAAAAATCTTCTTTCAATCACTTACTCAAATATTTAACCTTGTGACTCGTTTTAAGTCAACCCTAGTCATTTAACTTCTCTCCTTGGTTTGTGTCTTGTCTCTGACCCTAGCTTTTGTTCAGTTTCTCCTTGTTCTCTTTCAGGTGATTCCAATCATGCAATGATCTCTATAAATCTTTTATCTTATTCTTCTGAATCAACCTATCATTGGACTACCTACTACTACCTTAAAGTTGACTGGGATTCTTTTTGTGATTTTTATCGTGTTGGTCTTTGGGCTAATGTTTTTCTCTCACTGCTGATAAATGCACCTCCTACATAACCTACTGAATCAAGGCAGGTATGGAAGCTTTTATCCCTTTTGGTCAGTTCCAAATCAAGTCTCATTTTACTTCATGGTTTTTACGTTCTTGTGCGTATATCATTTAAAGAGAAACAACAAGTTTTTATAAATTTTAATAAAAATGTGCCAGTTATTTCTAAATTAATAAAATTAATAAAACAGTAGTGATTAACTACAGTAACACGTGACATTAGCCACAGTAACACGATAACAGGTAATTACAATAAACATTTTGAATCATTGCATCTGATGATAAACTTTGTTTTTTAGTTAAAAAAAATCCTTGGTGGAAAACAAACTTATTATTTACTATTACTTAATATTGATAATATTCATCTTTAAAAGTTGTTGCGAAATAATATTTTTTGTTAATGGTTTATTTTTTAATTGCATGTTTATTTTTAGATATATTTAAATTAAATTTTTTAGTTGTAGAGTCATCCAAGAGTTGTTTTTTTTATATATATATTTATCTTGGAATATGAAGTTTTTTGGAATATATAAATGAATATATTATTGAATTTAGAAGGGTTTACTTTAAAAATATTTTAAGTAGGTTCACTTTTATAGTGTAAATCTATAATGTAAATATATATATTTGTTATATCTTTCTGTTTCTATTTTTTCTTTTTTCTTTTTGTTATACCTTTCTGTTTTCTCTTTCTTTTTTGTAAAAGTATAATGTACAAAATGTAATATTTTTAAATGACTTTTATATATTATATTCATATTGATATATATATATATATATATATATATATATATATATATATATATATATATATATATATATATATATATATATATATATATATATTTGTTTATATTGTATAGGTGACAGAATCGCAAGGCTGCCTTGTTTATGCATATATCACAAAAAGTAAAAGCTTTCTGATATATTTGTTATAAATTTTCTGATATATTTATTATAAATTTTCTTTATTTTTATGCATTAAATTTGTGTCGCAAAAAATATAGACTTAGCAAGAATTTGTTTTACAAACTTGGCATTTTATAACATGATTTGTATCTGTGTGTATATATATACATATATATATATATATATATATATATATATATATATATATATATATATATATATATATATATATATATATATATATATATATATATATATGTATGTATGTATGTATATATATATGTATATATATATATATATATATATATATATATATATATATATATATATATATATATATAATCTGGTTTGAAAAAGAAATAATTTTTGTTATTGTAACTTTATATTTAGATGTATAGATGACTGGTTTAAACGAAATCGTTGTTGTCCTGAACATCCTGAAGAGATTCCACAGGAAACCCCTTCAATGACTAATATACAAGACCAATCTATAAATATTGCTTGCAGTAATTTTGAAATAGAAAATACGCAAAATTCTTCTGAATCTCAAAACATTACAGCCGAAAAAACTGTCGATAGCTCAATAGCTATTGCTGACACTAATTCTACTAATTTAGACATAGTTAGTGAAATACCGTATAATCCTGGAAATTCTCCAAATTTTGTAAATGCTTGCTCTGAGATGGAAAACTTACCAAATCTTGAAAATAACTTAGACATGAATGAAAAAACAGACTCTTTAAGTCATGTACTAAATGAACTAGAATCATCATCCCAACTAACAAATATAGTTTCCAGTACTTTTCATAAAACATTAGTACATGTAGATGAAGGAAGTGTACATGGTTCTACTGCACTTTTCGAAGACAATGAACTGGAGCAAATTGCTTCTAAAATGAAAACAATTATTGTTTATGACTTAGAAACCGATAATAACGAAAATACGTGATGTTAATGTCTTTCTGGCGATGCTAATATAAAAATAGATTTTCATCGTCATTTGATTTATCATAAAGATTTTGAATTTTAAATCGGCATGAATTTTTTTATTCTAACGAAAGGGATTCGCTATTTGTTATTAAATAACAGCGAATGATAAACAATGGAACTTGAAACACCGAAAGTGTGTTATTTTAAGTCTGTTAGATAGTATCTCACTAACAAAATCTTATATAAAAATTATAAAGTATAATAGTCTAAGTTTCTTTTAAAATATATAAAGTTAATCTCACAAAATCACTTTTTAAATCTTTTGAATCTGTTTTAATTAGTTTAAACTCTAATTGATGGTGGTTTTATTGGTTATATTGTTATTAGTCAGTTTAAACATAGTAAATAACCATAAAATTGAAACTTTTCCCATATTTGGATGCTTTGTCACATCATCACTTACTCTCTTTTTATATGCACTTAACAAATTCAAATGTATAAAAATGAAAAACATAAATATATTATATTAAATATCAAGTTACTATTTTTACTTTTTTGAAGTTGTGTGATTATATATATATATATATATATATATATATATATATATATATATATATATATATATATATATATATATATATATATATATATATATATATATATATATATATATATATATATATATATATATATATGTGTGTGTGTGTGTGTGTGCGTGTGTGTGTGTATATGTGTGTGTGTATATATATATGTATATATATATCGTCGTCTGTCAGGTTATACCTATAACCTGAATATAAAATAACAACACCATGCGCATGAATAATTGCTTGTTTTTTTTTTGCTTTTTTTAAGTGCTTGTTCGTGCATATGGTCAAATTTGATATTCGCTGACACACTGTAGGTACTAGTATTAGCAGTGTGTTTAAGAAATATTGCATGAATCTAGTAATATTTTTTCTACAGATTCTATTTTTTGAAATTTTCAAAAATTAAGTTTATTTTATTTAAAGTTTATATAAATTTTGAAATTTTAATTTAATATCTCCTGAAACAATTCTTTAGTTTGTTGAGTTTTTTTTTTTTTAGTTTTTTAAGGTTAACGAGTTGATCTGTTTATATTTTTTGAAAAAAATTCATTATTCAAAGTTTATTTTTCATACTTTTTTACACTTTAAACAGGGTGGCCGCGACTCCTAATAAATTATTAATTATACTAATATTTGAACTTTGTCTATATATATATATATATATATATATATATATATATATATATATATATATATATATATATATATATATATATATATGTGTGTGTGTATGTATGTATATATATACACACACACACAAATAATAGTAGATCAAATCAGTATGGCCTTACATATAGATTAGAGGTTTTTGTTTTTTTTAGTATTTTTGAACGAAAAAGATATACATTGATCGATCCTAAATCATTTTTTGAAAATAAGCAAAAAAAAAAACAGAAAAATTAATAAAAGATGGGGATCCTAATAAAGTCCGTGTAGGTGAGTGGAAAAGCTCAAAATAACAATCAGGCAAGGGCGTTTATTTAGTATCTGAGAGTACTCGCCAAGTTTGCGCCGTAGAACGCAACTTGGCCAAAATTTAAAAAAAGTTGTATATTTTTGGGGGGTTTTTAAATGGTAAATTCTAAAGATAAATGGTTCGAAATGAATATGTTAAAATATCAGGGTGGGGTAATCTAGGTCTTTTTTAACTACTTTTAATTTTGAGCAAAAAATATATAAATATAGCAAAACAATTTATTTTTAGAAGAAAACTTAAAATTATGATCAGATATCATTTTAAGTAAACCGCATCAAAAAAGGTTTTCACAATTTTTAAAGTTGTCTAAGGAGAACTAATTTGAGTTGCATTCTATAGACCCACATTATCCCGTTTAGTGGGGTAATGTGGTTCTAAATTACATTTTTTTTTTTTAATTTATTTTCAATAAAATATTTAAAGTTATAGTAAAATATGACTGAAGTCATTGGGTATGTATTATATATAAATAATTTGAGCAAAAGTTTAAACATAATAGTACTTTAATAGATGTTTGAAACGCAAAAAAAAACTTTACTTGTTCAAAGTGCGAAATTAGAAACGCAAATTTTTTTTTTTTTTCTATCTCTATTAGCTAATTTTTAAGAAATGCAGAGCATTCTTGTGGTTCAATTTCCAAAGTATTTTTTTAAGTATTTTCTTAATATATAGAACAAATAATATTATAATTCTCCAAATTATTTATATGATATTCAAATTTAAAAGTCAAAGTATTTATAAAAGTCAAAGCATGATAAAAAAAAGCAAAAACTTAATTGACAAATATGCAAAATTTTTATTAGAGATTCATTACCCTACAAAAACGACATGTTTATATAATAAAAGTTCAATCTGCAATTCTTCAAAACTGCTACGCTGTGTTATCTACTAGTTTTGATTAAAAACATTACATCATTAATAATCGTCCAAAAGAGTCCATAACAACATGACTCCAAAAAAATGAATCCAGAAATAGTCAGACTTATTTATTTAATTAATACCAACTTTCATTTTAAAGATATTTATTGTTGTATTAGCATTCTTAACGACACAAAACTAGGGTTTCCAAAAAACAGCGGTTTCGGTTTTAATTTAAAAAAAAAACCGCTGTTAATTGTAGTTTTCGGTTTTTCTTGTTAAATAATGAAACTTATGTAAGTTTATTTTGCATTGTTTATCAAAAAAGTTCAACATCTGTTGATGTGGCTTTATAGAGAGAATCGCATTGTAAATTTTTTCAAGATTTTTTGTGCTTTTGCCCGTATTTCGGTACAACAAAAACTCTTCCTTATACCATTTGAATTGATTAGTAGATTTAGGCAAATGTGTAATGCTAGCTTTATGGAAAAGTGCTTTTAATTCATCCGTAACAGAAACAGGTGAACTTTCCAATGTTGTACATAGTGCTTCAGCTAGTAGTAGTCCCTCATTATTAGAAGTAAATCCAAAAGGTCTAAACGCATATTTTTCTGCAAAATTAAAGTATTTTTTAATGGAACAACTGAAGAATCTTTTAGGCACCTTGACAACTGCCTAACATTTCCGTTAATTCTTTGATCGATGCGCTTTTTAAATTTGAATGCAATAAAGATGCGATTGATGCATGAATTCACAAACAGTATCTGATGTCGATAAAGTTGCATCTTCTCTGCATAAGAATTTCACTGCTAGTTTTGCTGGCTGTAAAGCGGCATGTAATGAAGCTAATGACTCAAAATCTAGCCTGTTGATTACATCAACAACATTTAATTCAATAAATGTCTGAAATAAACATTTACTAGTTGTTAACAAAGGCGCAGTCATTAAAAAAGTGAATTCCAACGATGAGGAACATCCAGATCCAGTTCCATTTCTTTACCAAGTTCCTTAGTAACTTTTTTTTAAAGATTTGATTATGAGCTGATGAGATTTTTATGAATTTCACTACTTTTGTGCATTCATCAAAATTTTAGAGTAGTTAACATTAGTCTCACTGTTTATTAATTCAAAACTAAAACTATCGTCGTAAATTCAATGTTCATCCTCTTCTGAATAACTATCCGTTAGAAATTGGTACATTTGTATCTTTATTTTTCTTGTATAACGTGTTGCATACACCATGATGAATTGCACGATTACGGCAAAACTGATCAACAATGTCCGTTAATTGCATGAGCTTCTTGTTGATTGCTGCACCATCTTAAGTAGAACCTACTACATCTCTTTCCATACAGACACCAAATGAATTTAAATGATCCTTAATATTTTGTATTAAACTTTCAGCTCGACAGGAACCATAAATCCTAATGAGGCCACTTTTATAGGTTGACACCATTTTATTATTAATCAAAACACCAACTGTAGCTAGATCAACTACAATTTCTTTTAGGCTCGATTTTTTGTATTTTATAAGTGTCCATAGTTTTAATTTTTTGTTCCGGTTGTGAATTTGAGCTGCTGCTTGATTCTCCCAGTTGAAGGGCTATTGATTGTAATTCAATGATGCAAAATATGATTCCGCAAATTAGTCGTGGATCCACCGGAGCAAATTACAACAGAACCGCATCTATTACAGATGCCTTCAACATCTCTTGAATTTAGAATTTTGCCGGACAGCAAATTTCCAAACTGATGACACGATTTATCTGGAAGATAAATATATTTTAAATATATTTTAAAATATATTTAAATTTTAAAAGATAAATATATTTTTAAAAAAATTAAATAATTGATAGAAACATTATCGCTATATAGAAATATATACGAGTGTCAGTTGTTAATTATTTAAAATAAATACTGAACAATTTTTGATGTCAAAAATATATACTTTATACGGGAAATGAACACATATATACATGGAAAAATAGATTTACTGACTAGTCATAGCATGGAACAAAGGTGTGCACTGTGCAATTTTTTTTGTTAAATTAACCTTGTTCTCTTATATCAGTATCAATGTCAGCAACTTCCTTTACATTTAAGAGGCAGATAAACTGGTTTTCTATGCAGTCTGCATCAACTTCGCGTTTTCTGTAATGATTTATATCTCAAGAAACTAGAAAAGTATTGAAATCTGATGAACTGCACGGATACCCTTTAAAGAAATGTCCTAGTTTTTTGAAAGGAGCAATTGTCACTTTGAGTTTTTCTTCTACACCATCATATCGCATGTCGAAAACAACGCAGACTTTTGGCTTGTCAATTGAACTGTTGACAAGTACAACCTTGTTCGGGTATTTTTTGGAGATAGTAAAGTCTCAAAAAATTGACCGTTTCATATGGCGCGTTACTTGGCATTCGGTTTGTTTCCCTCCTCTCCCATTTGATAAAATTTATTCGATGGACAGAAGTAATTTGGTTGATGACACCAAAATCATTCTCATTCAAGTTCGAAAAGTGTACAATATTTGTTTCTGCTCCATTTTTATCCACCATTGAGTAGAACCCGTCTTCTTTGAGAACTGTTTAGAAAAAGTCAGAATCAAAATAAGTAGGAATTCCACTTTTCAAAATTAAGTGAGAACTAGAACAGTATTTGTTAAGTAGGAATCATAACTTACATTGGCGGTAGAACAATTTTTGAAATCTCTTTCCGTATTAAACTGTTGCGCATTTGTGCGTGGACACGATGTCCGCCTTTTCCTCTAAATAATATTTTATTATACATATGCAAGAATATCTTTGGGAATTGATCCTACCGAAAATTGCAGTGACACATCAAGCAATCCGTAATGTGAATATTTTCCGAATTCGCCACACTTTATTGGCCTGTATGAATATGTAATATAAATATATGTGTATATTATAAATATATAGTTCTTATTCAAACTTGTACTTCAATCTGGCAGTTTCCATTTGAGGACACGATGACTCCATCAATATTTTTCTAGACCTTGGCAATTCTGCCAGTTTAAGATCAAGCTTTGAACTTGACAACATTTAAAGTACAACTGTTGTTTTCGATTGTGTCCAGATGTGAAGCAACATGTTTT